GTAGAGACAGATTTTCATTTGACTTTCTATTTTGCCTTTCTTTCCTTTCCTTTAATTTGATTTGTTTTGGCCAAAAATTGAGTGACAAAATTACCTTTTAGTTGATCATATTTAATCAATTTGTCGGTCAAAAGCGAAACCAAACAACTCAAGTTACGGTCAACCAATATGGTTGCGACTAACCCAAAATAATTGCCTGACTTTAATAACATTTTCAGTGCAATTCACAGAAAACTAACAATGACTTCCATTTATATAATGATATCAATAGTGATTCCGATTGTGATTTTAATAGCGATATTAACGTAATGACAATCTGAGTGTTTAAAGTTCGGAGTATCTAAACTCATTGACCATTATCTGACTAAATGAAACTCAAGTTGTGATTCAAGCTTATTGTGAGATTATTAAAATGATCATAAAGGAAAAGACAAAAGTAATTAAGACTAACCAAGCATACCTTTGATAGAGTGAAAACAATTAACAATAAGAATCAAAGTGACAAAAATGGATGTTTCTTTGATCAATTTAAAGGTAAAAATTGAATGGATTAATAATATTAATGCGATAATTTTGATATTACTTTTGATTTAACTCTGAATTCATCAAAATCTTACGATTAACTTGTTTCTTTGAGTTAATACACATTTATAATGCTCATGGTTATGGATAAAAATAATCATTCAAGATAATCTAAACATCAGTTTTCAATATGATTAGTAAATTGTTTTCCGCCATTATATTCATTTGTGTCTTGATAACAAATGGAAGGTTCAACAATCGATATTAATAATCTTCTCATTTCACTGATTATCAATTATGTTGCTCATTTTGTAGCTTTTTTTCAACCAGAATCTGGTTTCACTGCATAATCTGGTGCTTCTCTTTTTTTGGGTTAATTCAAAGCTGAACAAACATATGATCAAAGCGTGTTCAAATTGTATGAAAATATTGCGCGCACAGGAAAAAAAAGGATCAGCCTTTAATGATGAGAAAACTGATTTATTACTGAACAAGGAGAAGAAGAATTTTCATGTTTCCAGATAACTTGAATGACCTTGCAAAGGAACCAATGGGTTAGTTGAAATAATGAATGTTAGCCAATGAAGCACCAACTTCAAGGTAAATTGGAGAAGAAGAGAAAAAGAAAACTTGATTTCTTGTTTTAAGAATCAATGTAAAGACTAACATTGGATGTAACAATTGGCGTATTTATCACTCAGTAGCAGAATGATTTCTTGATTGTGTTGTTGATCAAGTTTAACAAAAAATAAACTTCAACATTTTACCAATTATCAATATTATTTCGAGTTTACCACTTCTGGTTATTACCATTGAATCCACTAGGATTTGCTTGTTTACAAAATCTGTTAAAGACTATTTGTAAACACCAATTTTTCCCAATTAATTATGATCAGCTAATTTTTCACTGCGTCTTGGTATCATAGCTTGGATTGCTTTTGTATCATCCATTATTTTACAATCTTTATCACAATTAGAGGTTTAAACTATTCCAAGAACCGAAATTGCTTAAGCAGGTTGACACAGTGATTTTTGTGACTAACGAATGTAATCTAGAATAATCATGATTCAGATTCTAACCAAACAGATAGTCTCAGATAAATGCGCCAGTCATAATAAAAATATTGTTTTCAATGTATGTGTAGCTTTGAGTATCGAGTTAAGGGTTGACACCTTATTTTGAAGAGGCGTAGTAAAAATGAAGTCCATTAGTGCAATTAAAAATATTTCAAGATCAATATTTTCAAAATCGCTTTCTGTTCAGATATAGTTACAACTTTTTTCTGGTTTTCTGGTGCAGTAGTGGTCAGGGTTAAGTTAATAAAAGCGGAGGTTTTGCATAGTCAATGGTAAATGAAAGTACCAATAGATTGAACTTTATTTTGTTCAGTTTTCTATTGCATTTTTTTCACATCTCTACAAAATAAATATGCTCGAGATGGTGACATCAAATTAATTTATTAATAAGTGTGAACCTTTTTTGATTTTTTCCTCATTTGTTTGTTGAACCAGTTTCTGGTTTTTCTTTCGGCTAGTTCAGGTTTCATTGAACTTGCCGAGATTTCTTTCATTTTAAACATTTGTCCACAAAATATTTACTTTCTGTTAAAATTAGCAACTCTGTCTATGTTAGATGTTCAGGGTCATTCTTTTTCTGTTTCTTTCATTCTGAATCTTGGAATAAAGGATGATTTTAAAGATTCAGAAGACTGAGAGTTGGTCCGATCAGTTTAATTTAAATCAGAATAAACATTTTGCTGATTTGAATTGATTAGTTGCGCTCTAATTTAAAATATTTAGATTTAGATATGATTTAAAGATGATTATATCAGATGATTTTGAGGTATAATAATTTGTTGGTTCAGAATTTGATGAAAAATCCGAGAAAAATTCAAATTGGTTAACACTGTTTACACATTCGAATTAAGGAATCACATTCCTTTCTTAGCCAATTCTGTAATGTGTTCACGAGCAATGACCATTCGTTGAATTTCTCCAGTTCCTTCGTAAATTTGTAAAATTTTTGCATCTCTCATCAATTTTTCAACAGGATATTCAGCGTTGAAGCCAGCGCCACCAAAAACTTGAACCGCTTCGGTTGCTGATCGATTAGCACAATGTATAAAGTCAAACTATGAAATGTTTGCGGGAAGATTGTGACCAAACTAAACGGGTTCTAAAGTAAATTTTTACAAATAATTAAAGCCCTGATTGAAAAAATGCAGAATCCGTATCTTTTACTATTGACTTTGGGGGAAAAACTTTTTTGTATTCAGATTGATGGTTTATTGTTGGGTTAGGAGTATATGTAAAACTGTCTTTCGAGCAAAGAGTAAGTTAAATATCTGGTGCTTCAACTGTACAACTCTCAAAATGAACGAAAATTTTTAGTTTTTCTCATTGGCAATGATTTTGTATAAAGCATTCAAGTCTTTAAATGTGGATTGAATTTATTGTATTCAGTGAAAATAAATTTACGATCAGCCATGATCGGGGGCTCAGCTTGTTACAATAATGTAACATTCAAAGAGATAAAGACTTTTTCAGTGAGTGAAAAATACTGTTGGTCGGTGCATTTACAAATAAATGGAATAAAAATCCACCGAATAAGCAGTAAAAAATTTGTCCAGTTAGATGGTAAATCTGTTGGAACGAAAAAAAAGAAGTAAATTAGTGGATAAAACTCATCAAATTTAATTATATAATTACCAGTCCACTTTGTGTTAATATTGGATATCGTAGCGAGTTAATACCCACAATCAATACGGGAATATGAATCCAGTAAGTTGAACGCAAAATGGTCGACAAGACGTGATAAAATTTCCCTCTTCCAGGACTAATTGAGATACTTTCAATATTTCCTATGGTATTGTTGTCCTCGTCATTGTTAATTTCATCTATTTTAACTTTTTTGGCCTTTGAGCAGCAACTTTTAGCTTCCTCGCCATTGAGAAACAAAACGAAGCAATAAAATATGATAACCAAAACTCGTTGAAGTGCTGCATAAATAGCATCAGTAAATCGAGACTGATTAAAGTTGACTGCAAAAAAATATATCATTGGACAGATCGACAGAATACCAGCAAAAATGACGAGATTGCGAGACACAATTCTCAAAAAGTGCACCTTAAACAAAAGTAAATACGAATATAAGAAATTGGACAACTTTTCGAATCATCATGAAATTAATACAACTCACCTTATTTATAATATCATCATAATTGTTCATAATCAGATAAACGGACAAAATTGTTGGCATGTAAATCCAAAGATGCATGAAGCCTGTCGCGTAAACGCCAAAACCGTATCTCATTGCTTCACTATTTAATCAACAAAAAAACGTTTAAATGATTATAAAAATTCGAGGTCAATTTATATCTCTATCTTACTCATAATCGTCTACTCGAATACCAGCGTGAATTTTGTGTTGATTTATGTAAAAATGTGAAGCGACGAAAAGTAAAGAACCAGCCAATAAAATTATGTTCAGGGATAAAGCAATTTTTGGACGACGTTTGTAGAGGTAGATGAGTGTTACAAGTAAGATCAAGTAGTAAGATTCAACATTGACTGTCCAAAAATGTATTAAACACTAGAAAATAATGATAATTGAAACGAAAATTAAAAATTGATTTCACATATTCATCTATTACCAGGTACTTACATAGTCATCTGGGTCGTCAAGCCAATGGTTGTGTTGAAAGATGACTTTGAAGAACGACTTTTCACAAGCCTTTGATGAGTTTTTTATTACACCAGAAGGTCCAGAAATGAATAACGGCAACACTATCTGAATGAACATTGTAATTGCCATCAAAAATGATAATCTGTGCAGGGTCAAAGCGTATTATAAGCATCGCAACTGATGGAAAGGGAAAGGTACAACATACGAAATCCATTTGAACAAAATATTGATCAGTAACCGAGTGAATGATGTTCCTGGTCCAATATTTTTCCATAGATCCAAAGCTCGAGCGGTCCCTCTAATATTATCGAATCAAATTTTAACTATGGCTTTGATCAATGAAAAATGCTGAAACTTACCCATAAACGAATATTCCTTCATTGATCCATTCAGCGTTTATGTATTGCAGCATTTTACTGTCTTGATTAAGTGCTACTTGGCTAGAAACCGCTGGTGATTCAAAATGTAAATTAAAGATAATTAGAGCTGATTATTGTCTGTATTACACAAAGTTTTACCTATGAAAGGGAAGGTTTTCGAAAGAAGTGGCCATGCTATCACATGTTCAAGCAAAACTATTGAGTGCATTAAAATAGCAAATTTAACGAGAAACAACATGCGACCCGACGACCAATTTGGCTCGGCAATTTGACGATAACTAGAGATGATTGAGAAGTGTTTAAACCATTGAAATTTTGTTGCCGATTCAGAAGCGCTTAGTGTTGATTGTCTATCCAAATATGTTGAGTAAAACACGGTGAGAACAAGAATAGCCAAGATGAATCTGAAAGATAAAGAAATGAATCAATAACCATAGTACAAATGCTAATTGAATCTTAACTTACAGGCAAATCTTTTGAAGTGTTGAGGCTTGGACTAACCTCTGGGTTTTAACTTCACAATTTCTGATAGTAACTAGATCCCATGAATATGATTTTAAAGCTAAATTAAACGGCAATTTAGTATAAAATTATATAAAGAAATGGTTAATAAAGAAATTAATTGTAAGTCTTTAATTATCAATTTCATCTTACCTTCCTTTAAAGTAATGGTTAGATCGTCATTTGAACATGTTGATGGTATACAGAAACCAATTTGGATATCAAAACCAAATTTTGAAGCAAGTATTTTATCTCGAGTGTATATTTTGGTTTGTGAATTTTGTTCATTATTTGGTAGTAAAGAGACGAAACAATATTTTGATGCTTCTTTCAGTCCACTTGGTCCAGTCCAATCAAGGGTTAAACACTTATCATAATTACCAGGATCAACGCTACCCAAACCAATGAAATCAGCTGGGACACGTCCTGATGCATCAGATACTGGAAATTAAATATAAAATTAGACCTAAATTAGAGCTAAAATTAATTTGTACTCACATTTAAATGCCCAATCTTGTCCTTGTTTAATCGATTCAATGACATGGTATAAACTAGATTTACATGAAGAAGAAACATTTTGTTGTTTAAAATCACTTGACCCAATGTAAGTCCACACAATGTTTGAAAATCCAGTTTGTACGAGAAAAGATTGTTTGGCAAAGAAATCAGATGATGATGTCACATTTGAATAAACTATTTTACTGTTAATCAATAATATGATAATATTAAGATAATTTATGAATAACATTTTGAATTAATGTGAATCATGAAAAGTTGAGTTTAAATGATTAGATTGACTCAGTCGACCAACACATTTCAGGAAAACAATAGCACAAATTTTTTAAGGAACATATGAAGCAATAAATGTTGACAGTCAGAATCTATTGTCATAATGAGTTTTTAACGATTCTAGTTGCGTTGGCGTTAGCTGGTGAAAGGTAAGTCCGAAAGCAAGACTTTTCAAGGTAATGCACAATTCAAAATGCACATACCGCAATATTCATTATCAGCATCATTAATCTAAAGGCGATCTTAAATATGAAAAATAAACAAGGAACCAAAAAATGAGAAATTATTACATTTAATGCATAAAATTGTCGACATGTTTGTCTTATCATAATTTCATGATCATCATGATTTATTGTCATTTTTTGCAGCTTTTACCTTACCAATAAACCTCTGGTTAATGTTTTCATCAAAGAGATATACTCTTTGGGTTTTCATTGATAATGATATTGTAATTTAGCAATAGATTGCCCATAAAAACCATATTCATTAACCTGGAAATTAGAAGGACCATTTTAAATATTTTTCATTCTCTCTTCCACAATTTGATTCGACTTACAGGTTTAATTGACAGTATCTAGCAGAATCCATTCAAATTATTAACATATCCGAATAACCACTTATCTCGTACAAATTCTGAATTTCCAAAACATTAAGAGCCGGCTTGTATCTGCTAAAGCAAGTTGACACAGTGATTTTTGTGACTAACGAATGTAATCTAGAATAATCATGATTCAGATTCTAACCAAACAGATTGTCTCAGATAAATGCGCCAGTCATAATAAAATTATTGTTTTCAATGTATGTGTAGCTTTGAGTATCGAGTTAAGGGTTGACACCTTATTTTGCAGAGGCGTAGTAAAAATGAAGTCCATTAGTACAATTAAAAATATTTCAAGATCAATATTTTCAAAATCGCTTTCTGTTCAGATATAGTTACAACTTTTTTTCTGGTTTTCTGGTGCAGTAGTGGTCAGGGTTAAGTTAATAAAAGCGGAGGTTTTTCATAGCCAATGGTAAATGAAAGTACCAATAGATTGACCTTTATTTTGTTCAGTTTTCTATTGTATTTTTTTCTTATCCCTGCAAACTAAATATGCTCGAGATGGTGGCATCTAAAAATTAACTTAACTGCGAACCTTTTTTTGTTAACTTAACCCTGACCACTACTGTATAACTCATAATGTCCAATCAAGAAATTTAAATATTAATATTTTGTAGATGAAAAATCTCTGTTACTTTACAAATCATTCTGAATTTTCGAGTTATGTTAGATAAAGTTTGTTGAATGCTCTTTAAACTTTGAGCCTCGATTTTGAAAATGATAGCATTTACAAACATGTCACCGATTATGTTACTTGATTATGTGTTAAAGCTTCGTGTAAAATTATTAGGAAAAATAGCAAAAAAACTATGTCGCATGAAATCAAACTCTTTATCTACTTAAAATTTCACTGATACTTATTTGCTATATTTCAAGGTCAAGGTCATTCAAGGTCATTTGTCGGAAATCGCTCCTAACGCTATTAGGTCAACCGAAGGTTGCATAATGATTTTCAAGGTCGAAATTTTATTATAAAAAATCTGACCCCTCAAGGTCAATCACAGGCCATGATATAGCCGTTTAACATCGGTAAAGATAGCTGAATAGCCCTGTATAACCTCAAGTAACAACTTAAAATTAGTAATTATCTGAAGTATACTTTCATTTGAGTGTTGAACATATCTTATGCAAAATGAATCCTGAAAATGATTTTGAAATTAGTGACAACTTGGATCAATCTAATCTAAGTTGAAGTAACAATGAGGAGAATCAAGTCGATATCAACGAAAAGTGTATCAATCAACCAAAGGAAAGTTTTGCTGGAGCAATTATTGAAGCGATTCAAGATGGAGATATGCAGAATGGTATAGAACGATCTGAAGAAATGGATTCTCAGGCCAAAGAGAACAATGGTGTAATTGAAACAGATCAACAGATACATAATCCTGTGGAACGGACGGAAAATGGTCTAAAGACATCATGAAATGAAATTCAGATCCAATACTCCAAAATAATAGCCGATGAAGAACAAGTCAAAGTCTAGACGAATTCTTGGATAAAGTAACCCTGGCAAAAACAGCAGCTTAAAGAAGGAAACTAGTGAAAAAGGTTTCAGCTGAGGAAATGGACAAGCTTAAAGCAGTAAGGACGCAGATAATTTGGAATGATCCCAAATCTGGACGGTCCTTCAATCAAGAAATAGTAATGAAGATCAATCAATTGACTGGTATAATGAAATGGGTATGGTAGCTAAGCCAAATATCTGACACTCCAAGCGCAGATAATCTCCATCTCTGCTGTGAAGATATTTTACATAGACCCCAGTCAAAGTAAACTCCTAGAAAATCAAATCAAAAATCTCAAAAAATTCCTGGAAATAGTCTTCTCAGAAAAAGAGAAAAACAAGATTAAAGAAATCATCAAAACATACGACATCAAAGAAAGAGAAAGATATCACAAGATTATGATGGAATTAAATGAAATTAAAGAAAAGTTAACATTCAACTATCAGAAAGTTTGATCTCGAAAATCAAGAGACTGGAAAAGATATCGGGTTGTGTACAATTTGGAGAAGTCAAGATCATCACAAGTGAAGATATTCAAAAAGTGCAACGATTTATGGACACAGTTTTCAAAGACAACGGTGAAGCAGCTATTCAATCGGAAATTCTCAAATTTAGAGATGAATCGATAGAAGAAATTGAAGAAATAATTTCGGAAATACGATATCCGAGTTTAATTAATGCAAACTGGGTTAGGATCCAAAGATGATGGCAAATATTGGTAAACTAATCAAAATAACGAAATACGTTATACAAAAAAGAGCAACAAAGAGAAAAATTCATGACAAAGAACTGACAAATAATCAAAAAGGTGCTAAAAACAGGAAAACAAGATGAATTGGACATCCACGGTGACGAGATCTACAGAATTCAATCAAGATAGAGCGAACCCCATATAGACTTTGTAAGATTGAAAAACGAAATCACTGGTGGTATAAAGGAACCGAGGAAACAGGATAAGATTATTCCATATTTATCAGCTCATGATTATGAAATTAGAATCAAAGTTGAAAAAGAATCGAGTGATGATGATTCTCGTGATAAAACATCAAATAATGGGAAACAGAATGCAATTCATATGCCTGACAAGGGCTACTTGGATGCTGAAGATCTATCTGAACAGATCTCAAGCTAAGAATCTGAAATTTTGTTTGACGAAATCATAAATATGGAATCAGTCCCGGATCAATCTATCTAGAGGGCAGCTAATTTCATCGTTGCAAATCGGCTATATCTTTGCCCCTGAGTGACCTTGAGGTTAGATATTATGTTTATGGAAATTCGGGCGATACTCAATTGTCATATTGCAAGGTCAATTTCATTCAAGGTCATTGCCATATTTGACCTCTAACTGATATTTAGAGGTCATTTTGCAAGAGTGCAATGGCCTTGAATGACCTTGATCTTGAAATTTGACAATTGACAAGCTATCCAGTTCAAACGAGATAATAAAAGGGTATACCATCACATCAAAGAAAATATCACTAGTGAAACCATCCTCAAGATCATTCAACTGACAGACTACAACCTGGAAATAATATTAGCAGACTTTAAAATAATAATACTTCAAAAAGAAGAAGATGAAGTTGAGATATAAAAATTATAGAATATTTCTTCGAAAACTACCTCGAATACATTAATAAAGAACTCTTCATTAGGAAAATGAAATTAAATGGAGAAAAATTCATAATCACAGTGTATATCAAAAAAGATGAGATATACAATGAGATAGTGAAGAAGAAATGGAAGATTCAAATTGACAACAAACAATTTGAGTTTTACCAGAAAACCAGATACTGAATTTGTAACAAGTGTCAAGTGGCCTTCTCGGGAGGACACATCAAATGCTTAGTTCGATAAAAAGAAAATAAACAGTACCTTTTTGGAAAAAATCAAAACTAAAATATAAACTTGTTAAAACTTGTAAGACTTGTTAAAATTAATTGAGAATAAAATATAAAACAAAACATATAAGAAAATACTCTCCTTTATTTATATCAATAAATGGAAGTGTATCAACGGAGAAGAATAAAAATGATAATGATGAGAATTACTCTGAGGTGAAATGAAGTATGATAAATAGATCAGAGTACATAAAGAGAGGGAATCTCTAAGTCGGGTGAAAAATTTAAGAAATAAAAATAAAACAACAATTCCTCATCTCCTAATGAGATGACTTCTGAAAAAGATTTGAATGAATGTTGAACATTACAAGTATGATAAATATTTTGACGAGTCTTTATATTAAATCGAAATTTCCGACCAATTAACACTTCCAACAAAGGAGACAAATCATCCTCAAAATCAGGAACATCAGTGGTCTCCTTTTGTAACAACTTCAAGGCAAGTACAAGTAAAAGCAGCCAGCTCTACTGATCCAGAATTATCACTAACGTAGAAAGAAATCACCACTTGATCCTTTAGAGCTGGCTCTGTATCCTTACAAACCTAGCAAACGGGAATATATTTCTTGTATATCTTCACCTTATGCGAACAAACAGTACAAGCTTTATATACTTGACCAGTACAACTTGTGATGATCACTTCCAAATTTGTATAAAAAACTTCGTCAGCAGAAACATCTGAAGGCCAAGAACTTATTGAAGATATATCACCAAAGATTCCTACGGTTAGAGAAACAGCATCAATTGAATCACCATTGGTAGCATACCAATCAGATAGATGACTTGCCTCAGGAATAGATGGATCTATTTCTATTGATGCACATCCCGAAACAGTCAGAAGACGACCATAGCTTTTGTGAGTCATTTTAGCACGCCTTATTACAATTATATCACCAAGATAAGCTTAAATTCATCTGGAGAAAGATTCCAAATAGATACAGAGGAGTTAGATACAAATAGATACAATTTCGGCAGAGGAGTCCCAACACTAGCCCCAATAAAGTCAATTTTTAACAATTAAAGAATTGTATTGAGAGAAGCCTCTTCTCCTTCACTTTTGGTTCAAATTACTCTTTCTTATCTTTAACCAGATTTACATTTAGGACTAGGCATTTAAGACACATTTTAATGCCTTATTTCGTCATTGAATGCCTTGTTAGTAAAATCCTCTTGGAAGTTTTAAAATTTTCAGCTAGTTAATCATGTTATAGATGTGCATCATTTTAATTGTAAAACTATGCTCTTTAATTTTGATACATAATTAATTCTAATTAATTATGGCATTCTTTCTCAAATGGACTTTGAATGAGCTCCTTTAAAACAGTTTGCCAAATTCATGTTAAAAA